AGTAGTAGTAGCAGCAGTAGTAATAAGAATAGTAATCAACAACCCCAAGGCCTGTGCAAGGCAGAGAAGCAGCAGGAGGCAACAAGCTTGAACGATCAAGGATGAAACTTTCAAACCCTCTGCCTGGCCAGGCTTCTCGCCCCGACCGGAGCCCCCTGCACGGGCCAGAGCCGCCCCCAGGGCAAGTAGCCTGCAATTGCATGGGACGGTCTTCCTCCACAGAGTGCCTCTAAAGGAGGCCTCGGGGCGTCAGAAGCGAATCATGAGTGTCTTGGGGCACAGCAAAGCACAACGAGAAAGGGCAAGTGCTTGCGTTGGTGAGCGTACATGAGGTGACCCATGCTCCACCGCTTGCAATCAGAGAAGCCCAGCACCGAGGCAGTTGAAGGTGGCAAGGGCTGCCCAGTGGTGCCTTATAGAACAAACAGGAGACTAAACCATTTGCCAAGATCTTCTTTTCTGCAACTCGCTCGGTCTGCAGTTGCAGGGAGTGAGGTTCTTTTGCGGCCCTGTGAGCTAAGCATCGGGATGAGTACAGGACACATCCGGAAGAACGAGGCTTAACATCGAAAGTCGCTCGCAAATCCTCGGGATGATTCAATGATTTGTGACTAGCAAGCCTGCACACAGATTCCAGACTTCCTGGGACGATCCATAAAGATGTGGCCGGAGGATCCTGTCGCTGCCTCAGCATAGAACGAACCTAAACCACTGGCATTCTGGATGGCTGGCCGAAGTTGAGTTCGAATGTGAAGTGCATTCCAAACACCATTGCACGCAGCTGCAAAACATTCGTTGCTCCGTATTGCTTTCCTTCCCGGATCTGCAGAAGCAAGTCTAACAGGAGACGGGCCATTAATTCATCAAAGCAGAGACGCCACACGAGAATGCCCGTGCCACCCAACCTTGGATGCATGGGATCATCAAGCTGAAGCTCGAAAGCTTCCAGTTACTGTACTTTTGAACTCTCTTGATCTACAGCGGCCGCCCACCCTATCCGCTGCCAAGATAAAGGTCAAGGAATCTAAGAGTACCATGCAGGGCAGACCTTCGGCAGATGCGGTAACACTGTCAAGGTACCTGCATGAAGCCACCGTCGCACTACAAATCTATGCTGAGGCCATTCGATGGCAGATCAACAAAACAAGGACTCATCAGCTTGCCGCCCGTTCCGACTTGCAGAAGGGAAACTTGTTTGAGGAGCGGCTGCCGTAAAGAATAAGACCGCAACCCTGACAGTGACGAGCAGAGACTGTCTGGTAAAGACGACCTCCGAAGAAGCTGCTTGGGGACCTCGAAGAAAGAATGAACGGCTTTGCTGGCAAGCGGCGCCAAGGTCGCACCCAGGCCCTGCTTCACCTGCCGGACTTTGCATGAAATGGCACATGTTCATCCGGTATTGCTTTGTGGCCTGCTGCTTGCTGCACCTGCTGGACGTAAGAGTCCGGAAAATACGTACGCGAAAAGGAAATCCGCGAGGGTCCAAGATGCGCGCAAGCAAAGTCCAAGTGTGGTCGAGGGCGGGTACGGCTGCATATGTTGCTCTTCCCCAACCCTCACGCAAATTTCCGAAAGCAAGACCGTCGAAAAAGCGGTGCATGCAAATGCGGCTGTAGGAAGGTCACAACGCAAAGCGAAGACAAGGAAAGTCAAGCCCAAGCCCAGTCAATGCAGTTCCCAGCATGCTGGATCTACTCAGCATCGTCATCTAAGTATGAAGCACTATGCCAGGCAGACAGCACCGTAGAACTTATCGCCCATGCCTTGTTGCTGCCCTCGTTGATGCGCCGACCTGCCTGGCACATTGAATTTCTCGACGGGTTCTCAAAGTCGGCTAGCCGGCTAGCCTACGACAGCAGCAAACCGTGCCCGGACCAACATCAAAGAGTAGCTCCTGCAACCATCGAGGAGTGGGTTCTTGCAGTGCCGGGTGTGTGCAAGAATTCGATTACAGACGTGTATGCAATTGACGAGACTGTACAGCCCTTTTCCCTTTTACCAGCGCTGTTCAGCCACTTAGGGTCTGAGGACTCTCTGTGTGACCTGCTCGGATCTGGCACACGACTCGCATGGAAACCTTAGCAAGCGAACGCCTCCAACGAAATTTCAGGCGACAAGTAGTCCAAGCCAAGTAAACTGAATAGACTCCCGAGACTTCTCTAATCACCGAAGCCCTATGTTCGCAAGAGATTCACACCTCGCCCCTGACAGCCGGGCCTGATAGAGCTCCCTCTGGCTGAAGGTTCGATCCTTGGGTGGAGGATCCGACCTCAGCAGAAGCCAGTATCATCCTGTTTCTTATAGCATGATGGCCCGTTACAAGCGCTGGGGCTAAGTCGACCCATCCGCGTGAAGTCGACCCACCCCCATGTACACGCCTCGATTCGTGTGAAGTCGACCCACCCGCAAAAAGTCAACCCATAGAGTAGGAATCCCCAAGTACACGCTAGGTTTCAAGGAGATGGCCCGATGTGCAAAATCGATAATGGATGCGACACTCTCCACAAAAACTAAAGCCACAAAGCAACGAATCGAAGTGAAGAGATCTGGGAATCCCCAAGTACACGCTAGGTTTCAAGGGGATGGCCCGATGTGCAAAATCGATAATGGATGCGACACTCTCCACAAAATCTAAACCATAGAGCAATGAATCGAAGTGAAAAGATCTGGGAATCCCCAAGTACACGCTAGGTTTCAAGGGGATGGCCCGATGTGCAAAATCGATAATGGATGCGACACTCTCCACAAAAACTAAAGCCACAAAGCAACGAATCGAAATGAAAAGATCTGGGATTCCCCAAGTACACGCTAAGTTTCAAGGGGATGGCCCGATGTGCAAAATCGATACGACATAAAGATTTGCACTAGCATTAACAACAGTATCAGCATTACTAATCTTATTATGATGATTTGTAGTCGCAAGAATATTTGCATTAGTATTGCTCTTGAGTTTCGTGTTGGAATGAGTATCAGCACTAGCCTTAATATGAACATTAGATCTAGTAGCAGTAACTATGAGTATTAGTGTTCGTAGCGATATTAGTATTCAAGTTAGTGTCAATAATATTGTCGTTACATAGTATGAATGTTCAGATTCGTATTGATATTACTAGTATAATGAATATTAATAATCGTTAGGACATTAATCTTACTATTAAGGTTAGTTCAGTATTAGTATAAGTATTATTGAGTGTGATATTAGTATTCTACAGGAGTATTAAGGTTACTTATTCTTTTGATTAACACCAGTCTTAATATCAATGGTAGTAGTAAATAGCAATGTACCTAGCTACTCACACATGCAAAAGTCCCGCCGTTCCCTTTGGGCCCGAGCTTTGGGTCCTCGCGTTGAGGCTCCTCCGCCCGGTCGGTTTGCGTCTCCTCAACTTCCGACTGTAACGGCACGGCGCTTCGTGGCACGACTGTGTGTGGTGTAGGGCCGGGTGCCTTGAAATCGAGCAAATGAGTGTTCGTGTGTTCTCGTTCTCTCTGGTACACGACTCCCTGCAATTCCACACGCCTGCTCCGGCTTTGGGGCTTCGGAGCTGCTTGCCATGCCTGGCTGAGTGCCGAGGTATGTAAGCTCGTGGCGCTGATGAATTTAGCTCCGTCCATCGTCGGCAAGAAACACACAACCATGCAATCAAGCAAGTACGCAGCACTACAAAAGGGGCACGCACTCGCATGCCTCTGCTGCGCTGCAAGAGGTGCAAACAGCCGGTCGTCCTCCGACGCATCGTCGTGACCGTGTTGGACCGTGCTTGCTCTGCGAAGGTAAAGAACATCTGCAGCATCTGGTCTAGCATGCGGACGTGCATGCATAAACACTCATACAAATGCATGCACATGCACACAAGAGATGTATGCGTGTGTGTGTATATGTTTATACACACACATATTTACATATAAATGTATAGACATCGATATATGCACATGTGTAGATATCAGGGCAACAAGTGGCAGTATGCTACGAGTAGAAACCTCGACCCGATACTGTAGGACTACAACTTCTCTTCGCCCACCTACAAATAGGACTAGAACTAAAGCTTTTGCGTCAACGCAGGACCCTCGCTTCAGTTCTTCGGGACAAATGGAACCGCTGCGTTGGCCCGGCGCGGGCGGAAAACCCCTCCTACTTCGATTGGAGACTTGAACGTGTGGACTGTGCCTCGGCCGAACCCTTCCGGGCCTGAAGCTTGGGAGCCCGCGTCGACGAAGCACAGCCGCAATCCGCATGCGAGTGCATGCACTGAGCCCTACTGGATCTCAGCCCTTGCTAACTATCAAGAAGCCAGCACTGCAGTACCTCAGTCCGAAAAACTGTATACAAAATGAATCTGGTTACAAGCCCGGAAAATACTTAGCACGTTTTGGTCCTCGCTGCAACGGGAGGCTCGACGGGCTTTGTTGCCTCCAACCGTGGCTTGAGCCATCCGCAGCAAAACAGGTCGACTCGAAGATCCTCTAAGTTGCAAGTCACATCGCGCATCAATTCCTTTTCCAAAGCCTCCAACTTCCAGAAACTCGAACCCCCGGACAAGCCGCTGAATTGGCGGGGCAACAAGCAAGAGGCCCTTGAGCCGTGCAACACGGCTACTGCTTGCGCATATAATCAATCCCTCAATTTTTCAGGCTATAGCTAATCGCTGTGACTGATCTTATGCTGGTACATGTTGACGGGCCTTGCTACAGTACCTGTAAAGCGGATGCCTTAGCGACCACAAGCAAGTTCGCACAACCTCCGATCGTGACTTTTCGAGCAGTTGAACTCAAGGAGTCCACCTAAACCGATCCAGAAAATTGATGTACGACCGCCACACCTGGGCGCACAGTGCTTGCAGAGAGGGGTTAAATGCAGAATTCCCCTACAGGCACAGTCCCGGAGTAGAACACTCGATCTCGCCCCTCCTTACTTGCTCCTGTCAAGACCCGGAACACACACACACACAGAGAGTCAAGGCATTGGGTGCGGAGCCCTGTAGTTAAAGACCTCGCAAGCTTTAGAGAGCTGCATGGGCATTGTTTTGGAAGAGGTGACGTAGTGGACCAGTCGTCATGATCATGAAGACTAGATAATTATGAATTATCATCCTGGCGGTCAGGACGGCAGCATAAACAACATCACCACAGTGTTTAGCTTCAGGGCCTACATCGAGGCAGCCATCTTCTCAGCACAGTCACCATCGGCATCACCGTGCCTATCCTCATCCACCATCGCACTCGTCGCTATCCGGATTTTTTGACATTGCCAAGCACCACTGCTAATCATCTCATTGCCACTCTTGTTTCCAGCGCAGAAAACCGTCCTTGCACCGTGGCACGGCAGGGTGGGCAAAACTTCAGCAGATTCTGAAGTGAACCAGGCCACTGGGTCGGTTTGCAGGAGTGCTGCACACCCGATGACCACCTGCGAGTCTCAAGCTGGGCCTCTTGTTCGAGCTACAAACCTATGGTAGTGAAATGGGAGTACAGCAGCTCAAAGATGTGCCTGCCTACTAGGTCCGGGTCCTGGACTCCCCATGCGGATGTATTGGGGCATGCCTTCTGCATTCAGCTGTTCCCAACCCCGGAGCACGGCTTCCTGGGTGTATCCAAACGTATAAGTCCGGCATGGAGGCCCGGCTGTGACTCCGTGAGCACCCGAAAGTCCACCGCCGGTTGGCCATTTACAGCATCGGTATCTAGCCAACGTAAACAATGCAACTGCATTTGACATGCCACGCGGCATCTCTATACTTTCAAGCCGAGAAGCCGCTGGAATCGGACCGCTACGATCATTCACAGGACATATTTTGACAGTAGGACGCGACTACGAAGATCTCCGGCCTCAATAATCAAGTATTCTGATCTGTTTGGAAGGCGATGGACCAAAAGTCCCAAAGTCAGCCGCAAGCCCCTCAGCACATAAACCCTGAATCAGATGCCCTACTGTGCCCTAAACCGAACACCTTCAAGCGGTACCACTCAATGCACCGGGCTGCCAAGAGGGACTTGGCTCGGGTGATAGCCACATTGAGCCGCCGCTGATCCGACAGGAAGCCAAGACCTTTTCAAGCACTGCTTATTTCTATCTACGGATTGTCATCAGTCTTATTGTTGTGGTGATTACTTGCGAAAAGAGTGAGTATGAATCTAATTATGATGTTGCAACAAAACGATATTGGGAAACGGCAGTCAGAGCCTCAAAGGGTGTCTGGGGTTGAGGGTTTCAGGTTCAGGGTTCGGAGTGTAGGCCGCCTGCAGACCAAGTAAAGCCTGTTAGACGTGATGTATAACTAACCGTGGTCATACTAACTTGCGAGTTTGCAGTCTGCAGGGTTTAAGGTGACATAATTTTAAACACCACAGCTGCACCGTAAGAGCATGGTCGAAACAAGTATGTTGGGTTCCAAGCTCTAAAGTCTACGAGAGCTCGACGTCGAGGTTCTACTGGCGCTTGGCGCTTGCAGTGTTGAGAAGCAGCCTTCCTCAATCAAGTTCAGGAAGCTGAGGCTTGGAACCTCATGCACGCTCATACGATGACAACCTGCCAACTGCAGACCGTGAAAGTGTACGAAACGTACATCGAAGGACCGGGAGGACGTGAATTCTGCATTCCAATCTGCCGCACTATCGGCCCAATCTTTGAACTTGAAACAGCTGTTTCGTTGTTGTTGCTGATTGCCTCCTGCGTGGCTAGGGCGAGACCCTCTTCACGCATCACTCAAGTCTAAGTCTGTCAAGTCTGCGACACGCAAAACACCAATGTTCCACGCCTTGTGTTCGAACGCACGAGAGGATGATCACCTGGGCGCAGCAGATTAGTGTCGGGCATAATGCCGGTGGTGGCAGTGATGCTGTTCGTAGTTGTGGCTGTATGGGCTGACATGCTTGTCGCGGTCTCTGTTGGTTACGGCCTGTTCGTTCGCGCTATCCTATTTGGTGGTGGTGGTGGTGGTGGTGGTGGGGGTGGCGGTGGCGGTGGCGGCGGTGGCGTGGAGGCACCGCTACGGAGTCTCTGAGACTTCCCCCCGCGCCCCCCCGCCTCCACCACCACCTTGTTCACGAATGACGAGGACTACCACCACTACGTCTAGCAACAGAAACAAGCAGCAGCAACAAGGACCATGCAATACCCACGCCGGAACCTCAACAAAACCACAAGCCGCACCGCAAAAAAGACGGCAATCGCGAAGACAAGATACACGCAAATCGCAAAAAAAAGTGCTACTGCAACACGAAAAGCAGTATCAATATGTATCAATAGCGCTCCGAAATTTCCGACAGATCATGTACCTCAATTATCTGAAAACACCACACCTGGACCAAAATACTACAACAGCGCAGAAACACGATCAAGTAAGGCTGCTTCTCGACTACTTCTGTGGGCGTCTTGCTAACATCTCTATTACTCGTAGCAGACTAGAAACAAGAAGCCCGGAAGTACAACCAACCTGCAATAAGAGTACTGCTTTGCACTTGTATTTTCAATTCCTTCCGCCAAGAGACCTCTTTTTCACGTCCTTGATAGCCATCCACAGTCTTAACCTCCGGACAGCCCGTTGCATCTGTCCTTGCGTCCGGCTCCTGCAGGTGCAAAGCCAAGGGGATCCTGAGACTCACGGATACTGCTTCGCTTTCGCCTGGAAGGACATCTTCTCCGCCTCCATGGCTGACTTGATTTGTGCCACCTGATTCGTTGCACCCAATCAGCATGCTTACATTCATTAACCACTTTACTGGCTCGCACTGACTCTTCCACAACCTGGGCAAGCAAACGGGTGGCCATGCAGCTGGTACTGGCCCAGGCTTTTCAATATTACCACGCAAAGGTTCGGCATCCAGCAGTTGCTGGGCTGTTTAAGCTTGTTGGTTTCAGGGTTTTTGTGTGGGTATGACTGGGCAACCCACCTGAGCCGCGTAGGGCGAAATCACGCCGATGTCCGCCTCGCCCGCCTCGCAGGACCACAAGAGACACGCCACTAACTAGCTCCTTCAGATTCATTTGGTGAGTTGCCTGCCGCGATAAGCAGGTGCAGGTAAATTTTCAACACAAGCACAAGCTCCCAGATGGACATCTGCTTGATCCATAAGGCAATGTGAGGGCCCGTCTCTTTGTCGGGCGATCTACGAAAGCCTTCTTCTTAAAGCAAATCTGTCACACATTTGCAAGTTGGTGACGAAGCAGACGCACATCTAGCCAACAACAGCGCCCACGAGTACATGCAAGATGTTGCAAAGTTTCCGGTTTAGTCTCACGCAGGCCGTGCAAAAAGTTGTCAAACGAATGAGCTAGACATTGCGCTCTTCAGGTGCCGTCAAGCTCCCCGCAACACGCTGAATTTCGCCATGCAGTTGCCATTCCTGAACGAGTCCGACGCTATCGGAGTTCTTCCACAACGCCGGACCCTGCCCTTGTCCAAAGCAGGATCATCCTGAAAGCAGCTTCTTCAGAGGTGCCCGTTTCTCACCGACCAGGCGCGAAAATGTCCACCTGTCAAGCCGTGACAGGCACAGAAAAATCCACCTCGACACCCTAAAACTCGAACTCGAAACGGTAGCCCTGCTCCTGGGGAGGGTCTGAAAACGAGGAACAACATCGACCTCGAAAACGGCGCTTTTTACATGTCGGTTTGGGGATACAGTGAAACAAAACTATGGCAAAATGAACAGAACCGGGGTGCATGACTATGGTGCAGGTGACGTGAATGTGGATCTGCAGCTTCTCGATTCCAAAAAGTACAAGCCCTACCCTAAAGAGAGGACACGGAAGGTTCCCTCAGCCGGCGATCCCAATGCACGTCCCATTCTCTATGGTAGCAGGTCTTCGGTTTTCTTGGTTATGGCTACTGTAATCTGTTTCAAGCCCAAACTGACTGGAAGCCAAGAAGCGGCTATTAAGATTGCAGGGTTCAGAATTCCTCACATTAGGGCCAGGGACCACTGAACCCCATTTAAGCCGTTTTGGGTCCCATAACGAGGCAAAGGTTCAAGCCGCTCACAGCTCGCACAACATCCGGGGGCCTGCTCCATGGGAGCACCGGTCACCTCCCAGACTGAATGGTTCTCATGGAATATATATATATATGTAAAAATATGTATATAGATAGATAGATAGATAGACAGACGGATGGATAGATAGATAGATGGATAGATAGACAAATAGATAGCTACATATAAATAACTAAATATAAACAAATAAATGAATATGTATCTATGTATACTATGTATTTATTTATCTCTTTATTTATTTGTGTATATATGTGTATATGCATATGTATGTATATATGTATGTATGTATGTATGTATGTATGTATGTATGTGTATATTTGCTAAAGATGCAGGGCTTCTTAGCCATGCAGCCGCATTGGCTAAGGACAGACTCGGCAAACGAAATCGACGGGAGGAAGGACAAAGTCAGATATGATAGGAGCACCAGACGGGCCTCGACATCGGGTTTCGATTCTCAGCCAAGGAGAGGGGATGTTTGTGCTTGGGTTTCGCGGGCATAGGTGTACCTGGGATCCATGACCAGGCTAGGCATGCGTCATGTCTGGCTGGCGAACCGTAATAAAAGTTAGAAGAGTTAGAAGTGAACAACACATGCGGTGAAGCAAAGGATATCCAAACCATTGTCTCCATAATCGTGACAACTCGAAACCCCAACACGTGAAAAAGTCGTCCACCTTTGCAGAGCTGCGCCTCCAGAATGCGCCAGTGTCTCGGCCAGGTGGTCTCCCCCGAAAGGCCCTGCCTCAGTCCAGCGCAGGCCAACATTTTTGCTCACTTATCTAACCTGCTACTGTAGGCAGGAGGACAGGTTTGCTCAGGCCGGCTGGGACTTTCTAAGTCTTTCTTGTGTCAGGGGCGGTGCATTAGGCTTGCCGTCCGCCATCAATCGGGCAATCCAAACGATGTCTACAACGGCCTATGACGGCCTGTTCAGGCAGGAATGCATCTGCATGCTTGCTGCCTGTGAATGCCTTTGATGTTATTTATCCATGCCGCTTCCGTTTGTTTACTGTTCTCCGCTCAAGGGAAGCAATCGGGAACAGACCGGAACATCACTCACAGCAACTACCTGGAAAATTTTGCTGTGCATGGTCTTCCAGCTGTCCAGGCTCGCAAGAGAAACACACATGAAGTTTTTCTGATCCCCACGAAGTTATGCAGCCGAGTGGCTGAAAAACTCGCCCGAAGCCATGCCGATCCTTGTTGGCGAACTCAACACAGAAACTGGCTTACTGGCCCCACTCTTGGCAACAATCTGAAGCCCTTCTGGCAAAAGAGTAGAAGCAACCGCTCAGCGCGTAAACACCTCAACCCCCGTATGTCTTCAGCCATAAAAGAGTTGTCACGCAAAGCCTGTCCAAAGCAGCGGCTATGTGTCTAGCCTAGCAGGGAACAACCCATTTCTTCTTCGTGAACTCGCACTTGCGGCTTTGAAGGCTCGCAGCCGATCATACTCGAAGTAAAAAGCTTGAATGCAGTGGCCGTCATGGTCGCACGTCGCATTTCAGACAGCAGCGGTCGAAATGATGGGAACTATCGCTGCTGGCGTTCCTTCGCCTTGTTTTTCTGTTCTTTACATGGACGTGATGATGTGCATGCCATATCACTCCATGATAGCTTAACTAACAGCATCAATGCAGTGCACGTTCTCATGCTGCTGCCATGGTCTCCACATGTTGATCCAACGTTCCAACCTTGTCATTACCAAAAACCATCATTTGCACAGAGACCGAGCCGTCTTTATGATCACCCGAAGTTGGTTTTGGTCGAGGGTAGCGTATCGCGTCGCAGCCACAGCCAAGCGAACTGTCTATGCAGTTGCCCTGTGAACTACTACTAGCGTAAACGGCCCAAGACCAGAAGCTTGTCAACCCCCAAACTCATGCAGCAAGTGGTCAGGGTCCACGACAGCCAGAGCCCGGAGCCAGCCCAGCACGGCACCTTGGCTTCCAGGGCCCCACTCCAGCGCCTCATCGATAAAACAATGACTACAACCTCTGACAGTTGGCCATGAAAACCATGATGTTGAGCGTTCTCATGTTTTTTCGACCTTGCTCTGTACCATGCTGATCAGCTTTTTGAGCTGCCGCGCCCTCAAGGTGAAGCTCTGCCCAGAATGACATCACAGCTCATTGGTGAACCCCGGGCTTTTCACTAAAATAACAATCGCAGAGAATCAGCCTCTGAAAGCAGCAAGCCTTGTTCCATTGACATCCGTGGCCCAGTGGCCCAGCATGGCACCGACCCGAAGTCCACGCTTGACCTGTGAACGGACGCACGGGTTCACTGACCGCAGCGATGAAGGCAGCACCTTGCACGATCATGTACGATCTAGAGGCTCCTGCAACAACGCAGCTGCACCTCGCGAACCGAGCCGACCAGAAACTCTCCGGCACCCTTGCTCCGGCTACAATAACCCGTCGTAGTTAGCCGTCGTCGCCGACATCTAAGTACACACATCAAGGCAACCAAAAGGCATGTGCATGCAAACCAATCAAGCCCCCAGAACCCGAAGCCCAGCGTGGATCGCGGATGCTGAGCAACAGCAGCTCCAGTGCTATCACCGTGACCACGTAGAGCAGACTGTGTCGGACAGTTGCTGCTGCGCTTGATTAGAGTATCCTTCGTTCAAGCTTTCGGACTTGGTCCCCCGTTGCTGATTCAGAGACGCCCGGCTCGTGGCCAAATGAAAGCCGCAGCAAACAACACCACTACGCAGCAAGCCTGTCGTGGTGCAGCCTAGAAGCAACACCCTCATCGAGTTGAACTCGTCCAGGTCTCAGGCAACAAGCCATTGAAATTGCGGAGCAACACGCTTTCAACGACAATCAGAAATATCATTGGTACAAAAGTAGATACCTCGAAAGCTCAAGCCCCTCACAGCAGGCCAGATGATGCCAGATGCCCAATGCCCACAACCCTGACAAGCGAATGAGGCAAGCACCTTCGATGTTGTTGCGGACGTGCCGCAGCCTCCAACCGACGTTACGGATTCTACCCATCCCATCCCACACGATCCGACCGGATGCCTCCTACAGGTCTTAACCTTGCTGGCCTTTCAAACCTGTGTGAGGCGTCTTGAACGGAGGAGTGTTCTCGATGTTTTTTCTCTCGGAATCTCTCGGAGTTGTTCGGGTCGGATTTTTCCCGTGGCGCTGGGCCAACCTTCTTTTCGCACTCGCGCTGCGTGCGCTCGAGCTATCAGGGCCACCCCCCACTGAGAGCTGGATGAGCTGGAAATCTGAATTCGCCTTGGCTAGGCCCTCCGCAGCGGTCGGGGACCGCCTCCCGCTGGCTGCCGGTGGATTTCTTGTGGTGTCTGGGTATGTGTAGGACGAAAAACAGACACCCACCACCCGCAGACATCATCGACTTGTCCGGAGGAATAAGTCCTGCCGAGCAGCAGCGTGTGGGCACCATGAGGGCAAGCCTGCATTCCCTAGGAGTACGGGGTGCTCCCGGTGGTTTTGGTGGTCACGATTGTCTGGGTCGTCGTGGTCGCTGTGGCGCTCGATCACTCTTTGGGGAACTACTACGCTGGCATGTTAAGTTAAGCATGCGAAAGTCCGACAGTCTGCGCCTGCCGCGGGTTGGACACTCATCGGCGTTTGGTTTTGCGGAGCGGGGTGAATCGGAGCATGCCCAACAACCCTTTATTTCTGCAGCTTCGTCTGGGTAACCCACACAACCTGCGCGTGCAGACGGAGTGCATGGCCTGATCCTGGGCAGCGCGCCAAGGCAGCCCACCCTCGAAAACAACAAATTCTGTGGTACGCATAGAAACCAAGGAGGATTTAGGAGTGAGTACGTAGCGCCAAGGCAGCCCACCCTCGAAAACAAAAAATTCTGTGGTACGCATAGAAACCAAGGATGATTTAGGAGTGAGCATGTAGGGTTTAACCCTGAGGAGCAGTTCGCGGGTGCGTTTACGCTGGTTTGCTTGCTTCTGTCAAGACTGAGCCAGCCAATCAGGAAGCCTGGTCTAGGATTTGGGAGTGAGTGTCATCGCGACTCGGAGTGTTTTTTGTGCAGCACGTTGCCCCAGCTCGAAACCTACATGATTTAT